ATCGATCACTAGGTCATCCCCAGTAACCAGTACCAGGTTGAGCAGCAATTTACCTCTCGTTGGCCCATAGACTTCTTGAGTCAGGTAGAGGTCATCCACGCATGATAGGAAGCTTTGCAACTGCTCGGATTTTGCTGAGTGATCTGGGTAATTGAATTCACCCATGACACCCATGGTCCTAGAGCATGCAGCCTCAGACAGTTCCTGGGCAAACTCCTGGTTAAGCTCTTGACTTTGGGTGGGTGGTCCATAGTAGACTCCCACTGGTGTGTCCCCTGTGCCATTTTCCCCACAGATTTTAATCCGGAGGGTCTCTAGTCGTCCACCTTGGTCACTAACATCAGCTTGCAGGGATGCATAGCTTTCCTTAACATAGAGAGCTACACCCCTGCCTCTTTTATCTTCTTCATCTCTCCTGTACAGGGTATAGCTGTCTATACCCATGGTCCAGTCATGGGTGGAGTCCCACCAGGTCTCCGTTATCCCTATGATGTCATAACTATTTGCATTGAGCAGGAGGACGAGTTCTTCCTGCTTATTCCCCAAGCTCCTGGCATTTGTGTACAGGCAGGCAAGTATCCCCTGGGGGGCTCTTGCTTTGCCCACAAATTGTACCAGGGCTGGGGCAGGGGTGGGCTCCCTTAAGTGCCTTGGCCTGCTGGCTTTGCCAGGGTTGCTCAGCGGGCCAGCAGTGGCAGTAGTCCCCCCGCCCCCAGTGGGCTTTACTAAATGAGGAAGGGGTGTGTTAAAGGTACTGTGATCACATAATTAAAGACTATATCCTCCTTTATGTGCACAAAGGGCATGAATTGAAACTACACAGTCAGACTCCATTCAGGCATTCCTTAACATTTGAGTTCTTGACTGTTGTATTTTGGACATTATTTTAATGGGCTTTTGTGTTTAATATAATGGCACATGGATGTTTATACATGTAACATACAAGCATGCATCAATAAATAGTGATCATATTTACCATGTGTTTCTGTTGTTTTGACAGAGATTGCCCTTATGTAACATAAGAAAGTACTGGTAAAACTAGCAACAGTTTTAAAACCAGGCAAAGCATCTTAAGTATGTAGCTACTTTAGATGGACAGAGTAAATGGCATATAGGAAATGCATAATCTTCTGTATGTTCTGCATATATAGTAAATGATAAATATATTCCTCTACTACTGCAAATCAGAACATAGCATTTATAATCTGATTACCAATAAGAGTTCTCAAATTGTACATTTAGGTTTCCTAAATATGGGGCATCGCTTTATAAGGTATTCTCTTGCCACCAAACAGCACTGTATCTGTACTGATTGGCTTACCACTTAATGGCTCTGTTTGTAAGACAATTTTCTAATCAGCTACATGAACACTCATCAAAAACAAGGTTCTCTCATTTTGAAGTAGAAGCGATGGGAATGATATGGCATGTTAAAAAAAAAGAAAAAAAATCAGTTGTGTTTGTTCTACAAAGCAGTGATTTCCTATAGGAAAAAAAATATCAACCCGGTAATTGTAGAAAGCTTTTATCTGAGAAATCTGAATTGAACACTTATTAATATGTTATATTTTCTAATCAAGAGCTGATTTGTAGGTGTGAATGAGTCAATATTCCTTAGGTCTTTCTTACTGCATTCAGCAGCTCAGAAATTGGCTGATGATTATTTAAAATTTTGGATCTACTGTTTTGTAAACTGGTGGTGGGTTTCCAATCATCAGGTTCTTTAATAACAATAATAAATATATTTTATGTTCTAGACAGTATGATGTGCAGCTGAAACAGTTTATTTTGAATCAGTTCCATATATTGGTACTTCTGTTTATGTTTCCTTATCCAGCTGTAAAACCTAAAATGTTTCTATAGATTTAAAGCTATAGTAACATTTTTGTTATATGGCAAAAACAACTGACTGCTCTCCATACATAATATTTAGCCATGTTCATCTTTCTTTATCCAACAAGCACAGCAGTTATTTGTTAATTCCATGTAATGGATGTGACATATACAGAGTACATGAGATGGTGCATTATTAAAAAGGTTTTAACAGCCTGAGTTTAGGATGACCTATATAATTAGGAGTTGTGTAACTACAATCTGCCCCAAGTTCATTCCAATAAATCCGTTGCAAGCATAACACACACCTTATATTCTACATAATAGATATAGTTCAGAAATATTTTGTATTTTATTGATATATATTTGTATTTTATAGATATTTGATATTTTATGGATGCTCATAGATGTTTGATGGCTTGCCTTTTTTAATGGAAATGGACAAATTTTCCACCAACTTCAGTAGTGCTGGATCCAACACTACTTCTTGTTAGCCTCTCTCTGTATCCTTTAGAACAGGGGTGTCCAACCTTTTTGAATGTGGGGCCGGATCATGAACTTTTTATCAGCCAGTGGGCCAGCGAGCCATATTCAAAGACCTCAAAGGAAGTGGTATCACATCAGGAAGTGATGTCACGTGACCTTTGACATCAATGAAGTTACAGGAAGTGGCAATGAAATAGGTCTGGAAATGTGCCCAGCAAAGTTGTGGTTTTCAGAAAGTATGTATGTTTGGTATGGCTTAGGAACAGGACATCATTTTTCTGTGCAGGGGGTTGGACTAGATTAGGGCTGCCCAGCTGACTACCTGCAGGCCACATGTGGCCCACAAAGGGCCAGGATGTCACCCACAGTCTACATGGGGTCTGCAAGCAGTTAAGTATATAGGGCATGGGCCTGGGCAGCCACCTCTCCCACTGCTGTGCAAGGGGGAAAGTCCTGTTGTGTGGGGAGAGAGGAGTGGTCCATGTCCTGCAAATGTAGCCTGCATGGCTGAGGATGGGGGTCTGCATGCTGCTGGAGCAGCCCGTGCAGTGAGGGGGTCCTAGGGGCCCACCCCCATAGTGTGCAGCCTGTGCAATGTATGCTGGTGTCATATGGGGCCCTGGACTAGATCTGAAGAGCCCTGGACTAGCTTATCCTTGAGATTTCTTCCATGTCTCTGCAGTATATGCCTACAATTTCTATTTAATTAACCACAATGACCATGATCAAGTTAGTAAAGGATCTCAAGGATAAGCTAGTCTAGGGCTGTTCAGATCTGGTGAGGCTGTGGGCCCCATATGACACCAGCATGTGTTGCACAGGCTGCACACTGTGGGGCTTGGCCCCTAGGACCCCTCACTGCACAGGCTGCTGCAGCAGCATGCAGACCCCCATCCTCAGCCATGCAGGCTACATTAGCAGAACCTGAACCACCAAGGAGGCAGCTGGACATAGAACACCTCTGGGCCGGGCTCCTCTTGCCTCCTGTCCAGCCCGGCTCCAGCAACCGCATGCCCTGCAGCCCCAGCCCGGCACAGCCCGGCCCCAAGGTGCCCCAGCTCCGCACAGGAACTTACATCGTGCTCTGTCCACCACGCATGCGGACAGGGTGCAGGCCGTGCTGCAGCTCCCCTGGCCACAACCAGGGGCAAGGGGAGGAGCCAGAGAAGAAGCTGCACACTGTCCTCAGCTCAACTAATCAGGCGCAGCTGGGGCAGCGGCGGCAGGACCCAGCTCACTGATGAGCCCGGCCCCTCGGGGGTAAGCAACTCCCCTCCCCTTGCTGCTGGCTGGGG